ATAATCTTTTATAAAGATTTTAATTAAGTATTATATTAGAAGTCAATGATTATCTTAATTATATTTTAGATTTTTTATATTTAAAATGATATGTTTATCATGTATTTAATTATACTTATATGCGGTTAGTTACACAAATTCAAACATGAAACTTTAATAAGTTGTACTTACGCACAATTACTTGTGATCTTGAATTTAAAATAATATGCATCAATAAACAGTATTTCGTACATAAAAATGATTTTTAGGAGTTCTTATCAAATGTTTTATAATATACTATATATGTGTGTGTCATAAGATTGAGTTCCAATGAGAAAAAAAAATTAATATGAGAAACGTAAAAAGTGATCGTCAATGTTGGATGCACATTAAGATGAGATGCACCAGATCAATCCTCATTTCAAGTGCAATTCATGAGTGAATTTGAGATTAAAAATGATCAAAGGTTCATATATTTCTTAACACCTTAATTCTATTCTATTATATATATATATATATATATATATATATATATATATAATATTACAATAATCAATGTACATCAAAATACCAAATTTGTTGGGATGTAGAGGGGTATTGAATGAAGTAAATAAGTACAACAACCACAACCATTAATTTTGTTTCTCATAAATTTTCCAACTCACTCACTCATTTCTTGGTCTAAGTAGACACACTAAACTTTTTCATCACATCAACATTTCTTTCTTTTTATGGTAATACAACCACTTTTAACATTATTTTTTTTCATTGGAATCTTTTTGTTTTTTTAAAGATTATTTTGAAAATTTATCTGATAAGGTTCCGTAGATCCTCATATATTTCAGATCCAAAGTCTACCTCTAAAAGGGACTCGACACTCTAGAACATCTATACCAGTCTACCCCTTGTTACATATTGCAGTGTTGAAGTCTTCCATCAGCTAACTTAAACTTTTTTTTCAATATGTGTTGGAACCCGCTTCTCTTAATGATATTTTTAATAATAATCTGATGGGGTTTTACATATTATCAGTGTCATGATGTGTACCGAGTCTCGACAATTTCTTACAAGTGGTTTTAACCGGTTAAATATCCAACTGGGCTCGTGCCCACATGCCTAAGGTGGTAGCAACCCCAGTGACTGAGATAAGAAGGGGTTAGCAAGCGTTGTCCTCCCCCTTAAGTTGTATATAGTCTTTGCGTCCCTACAGAAAATTTGTAAATTTAATCCCTACATCGATTTTCAGAACCACTATAGCTAGCCACTAGATGGGTTCAAGTAGTCGAACCATTGGACAGAAAACTAGGTTAATCAATAACCTAAAAACAACTTAGAGGATGTTTGGTTGGTTTCTATTAAGTCTTTTATTCACTATGAATAAAGATCTTTGTGTGGATTGATTTATCTTTATATATTGGGAAGATTTTTGTTTGAGAGGGTGTTCCATATATCGAAGGAGCGTGTGGCTTTTAATTGGGAGAGACGGATTTGGAAGAAAAAAAAAACTTGATTTTCTACATTAAAAAACCATTTTCTATATCATCAAGCCCCTACCAAACAATCACGTATAGCTTACCGAATAAGTTAAGTCTCATTAAGCTTATCGAACTGCTAACAAACAGACCTTTAATTCAACCATGAAATAGCTCATATTACATCTTATACCAATCCAAAACACATTATAACATTCAAGAAACACCATTGAAGCATCAAACCATAAGCTACACCAATTGTGCTAGCTACCATGATCTACAACAAACATAAAAAGATTCAATGCTTACCATTCTTAATCACTCTTTCTTCTTCTCATCTTGCCAAGTTGCTTGCCATTGTTTGTCGTAAAATGTAGTCTCATCAAGCAACTTTTTTAAGTTATCATAGTCTTCGTTCTTTCGAATCAGAAGAACACCAGCTACTGCTACAAATAAAAGTGTTTTGCAGAAGAAATTTCCCATTTGATCAACTAGACCCACACCAGTCAAGCTATCCACAAAGTAAGCCATAAAGAACCCCACCATTGCAGCTCGACCTGCGAAAAACTGGTTAATTTGCACTTTGTTTCTTGCTTTTTTGGTAGGAATTAAAGAACTTAAAGAGAGAATGACGGTTCTAACCATTGAGTAATTCGGCTTCGGGAAGATGGAATCGTTTCATCCATGCCCACCAAGGAATAATCGAGGTGTCGAAAACTACAGGGAAGTCATTGTTGGATGATTCTGGAGTGTCTTGAAGCCATTTCCTCCTTTTAACCTCTAGAAACCAGTAGCGAGAAGGTCAATTCAAGGCATTTAAAACAGTTATGTAACAACTCACCATCAGGAGTTTAAGTGGGGAGTTTGTAAGAACTGTGTCTCATAGAAAACGGGATTTGTGACCCGTGAGCTACCAATAACATCCATAATGGTTTTAAAGGAATTTGGAATCAAGATTATCTTTAAGGAGTTTAAAAGAGCAATCAAGAAAGACCATGCTCAATCAATCCTATTTCCATGGCTTGAAATTGAAATTGAAATTGAAATTGAAGCTGGTTTTTGAAGTTTGAAGTGTTTTACGATGACGGAGTTCAAGGTTTTGTTCATATAATGAAGTGATTTTGGTTCAATTTCATGGAGTAAAATAAACCCTAGTTAAGTATGAAATCAGATATTCTTATGAAACAAGAATCTCACCAGCATCAATGACAGCATCCCAATCAGTAGTTCCATCTTTCTGAAACTGCTTCAAATCCCAAGTCCCAGAAACCCATTTGGGATCTTCAAACTTAAGAAGCGAATCAGCCACGTCATCGGCCACCGGAGCTCCGTTTCCAGTAGAAGCTTCTTTGGGTTCAGGAGCTTTGTTCTCCTCTACAAGAATGCCAGCTCCAGACCCATTTTCAGTAGCTCTAAAAGACCCAGAAAGCAAGTGTCTTTGAGGCTTAAAAGAGAGAAATGGGTTATTTGGGAGGTGGGTTTTGGCTGAGGAAGAAGAGAAAGAAGAAAGATGTGGAGTTGTAGAAGAGAACAAAGCCATTGATGAAGACATAGCTGCTTATAGTTATAGTTACAGTTTCAGAAAGAAAGAAAGAAAGGTTCAGAGGAGCATCATGGTGTGTGTGATTGAATTGAAGAGATAAGCTAAGGCTGAGAATTTGGTTGGAGTGCTGTGAAGAGCTTTATTGACTACTATTTGGTAAGGAGTAAATCAATGGTAGCAACAAGAACAAGTGGTGAGTTTCAACTACTTTACCTGATTTGGTCACACCACAATTAATATCTACTTGGTAACTTTTTATTCTACTGTCCACCAAAAAATCAAATATTGTGAGAAGATAAGTGTAATATATAAAATATAATGTCACTTCATTATAAGAATGTAGCCAAATGACGATTTTACGATAAATATTCTTATATTTGTTTTTTATGGTTAAATCACGCCACAACTTAGAAAAAAATTCTAGATCCCTCTATGAGTTCGTATATTTATATTCAAATAGATTCTTTTAGTGGATTCATATATGAACTTTCTCTTCTTACATTTTTTTCGATAGCTCAAACATTCCTATATTCCTTTCTTTTTTCCTTTATAAAACGACAATTATTCCTTTCTTTTTTTTTCTTATAACTTGTTTAATAATTGTCGTTATTTTATACAAGTCCCAAGTTTTTAAATTGACCCATTTGTAATAAAATTTAAGGTAATTTGGTTTATTTTCACACAAATGAATTAATAAAATTGTCATTAAACCGAGCTTTGATGGTAGTTAGATGTCCTTTTAACCTTTTTACGGTTTCATTCGGAGTTTGGACATAAATTATATAACTTTTCCAAATATATTATTATTTGATTTGATATTTATAATTTAATTAATGCATAATATTCATATAAAATGATTTAAACGAACTTTAGTGATAAAATATCTGACATTTATCTATTGTTAATCAACACATAGCATCTGTTACGATTTACAAGTTACTTTTTCGAAATTTGTCCTGTGTTTTTTGAAAGTAAATTTTTTTAAATTATGTTAGAATAAAATATTATACTTTTTTGAAAACGAGCCAAATAAAATCTACATATATGCAAATTAATCAATATATGTATGTTATTCTTAACGAATCAGAATGAGTCATACGTCATATTTTTATTGTAATTAAAAATAGAGATGTTATAAATTAATGGGACAAATCACACATATTTTAAACACTAGTTGGTTTATTTTTGAATTAAAATCAACACCATAAGATTTTGTACTTTATTTATGGGAAAAGTCTAGAAAAAATCTAATGGACTTTAGTGTTTGGAATGATTAAGTCATTTGACAACTTTTTGGAATAAATAAGTCATTGGACATTCCAAAACATGCTAAATAACTCATTGGACAATGACTTATTTGTTCCAAAAAATTATCCATTGAGTTATTTAGCATGTTAAATTGTCCAATGACTTATTTGTTCCAATAAATTGTCCAACGAGTTATTTAACATGTTTTGGAATGTTTAAGGACTTATTTGTTCCAAAAAATTGTCCAATGAGTTATTTAACATGTTTTGGAATGTTCAAGGACTTACTTGTTCAAAAAAATTGTTCAATGACTTAATCATTCCAAACACTAAGGTCCATTGGGTTTTTTAGACTTTTTCCTTTATTTATTTCAGTGCACATGATTAATTTTTAGATTTTTGTGTTTTCAAAAAACATTTTATAAAATATACATATAAGATATCAGATTAAATGAGAAGTGTAAAAATGTTAAAGACCGTAGAAATTACTTAATCATTTAAGAGTTTTAATCAAATTGACATCGAAAATAATGACCTTTTTTATATATTAATTAAAATATTGGAAGTTTGAAGGCAAGTTTATAAATTAAGATATTAAAACGGCCATGTACAACCAACGTTGGTGGATTCAATCGAAACGACAGATCAAATAGATCCATATGTTATTGAGAAATGCATATAGGGGTTAAGACTAAACCCTAGACCTTCGATTCAAATTGAGAGAACAAATTTATAAATGAAACCATTAGGAATTGGGATGAGAATGAAGGAAGGGATTTGGAGTTTTCGACGTTGGATGGATGCATTGATTCATGGTGGTAAGAGGAAATCTCGCTGTCTAAAGTGGACATAGGAGGGGATTTCGGTGACGTCGCCTTAAGTGTAGGTGAACCAATGAAGGAACTAGACCCTGATCTGAAGAATGTTGAAGACATGATTGGTTGATTATGATTAAGTTAGGGTTTTAATTTGAAGAGAAATTGATCGGATCTGGCGATCAAAATAGATATAAAAAATCAGGGAAATATGCGGTGGAACAATGTTTGAATTCCCATTGCAATCCGAACTCTTTATTTCAAACTTTAACTATCCAATTGTTAGATCAATGGTTTAAATTGATTTTGTTAATTTTAGTATTAGAAGTAACTGAAGCGATTAGTAAGGAAGATAAATCATCATAAAAAAAGGTAAATTCCGTACAAAATACATAAAAGAAACTTACCATCGTCTTCTTCCCCTACAATTACTCTTCCGTTACATTGTAGATGGGTGGTGAAAACAGTGAACATATCCATGAACATTGTTAACAATTACGAATCTCAATAAGTGAACATATTCATGAACATTTTTAACGTCTCTCATGTTAGTTCACAATTTCCATGTTCATGAACACTTATGTTCACACCTAATGACTAGTCATTCCAAACATGTTAAAGATGAACATGATAGAAGACATAATAAGACGTTCATTATGTCTGGAGGAATTAAATATTTGAAAATAGCCAAATTTTAGGAATAATGTAACTCTCATATTATGTCAGCATATTCTTACTAATTTGCCTCCATTTATTAAACATTTAATAACCTATTAACCATAAACCAATATGGATTCCTATTGGACCATTTTGGTTTGTATAGTTAACACAAAAAAACAAGGTTAGCAAAAAATGACACACACACCCCTATATATATATATATATATATATATATAAACATTATGTTTGGCTTTCATGATTGGAAATAATCATATATATAAAAGTTGTTTTTTTTTTATTTCATAAGGTGAAATCACAATATGTGTTTCATATACCGAATCTCTATTACCAAAATGATAATTACGTCTTTATTCTAATAAAAATAGATTCCAATTAAAACTAAACTATGGCTTAGATTAGTCCTCACTTCTCAACCTTATTTTTGGTCCTTGCATGATTTAACTCTTATATAAATTACTATATATTCCTTTATTTTTCCCCTTATGAAAAATGAAAATTATTGAATTGGAATTGGAATTTCACTAACGCAAGTCATTGATGTTGCTTGCCTATTCTCCAAATCAGGAACCCTACGACTTTCTTTTAACTTTTAAAAGAAACAATTTGTTAAACGTATTATCGGATTTCTAAAATTTAACTTTTTATGTATTTTTAATTCTAATTGTATTTTCTTACTTAGAAAATTATCTAAAAAATTTGTACAAGCGATTAAAGCTTTTTTAAAATCTATATAAGCCTTTTATATCTCGTTTGTAGTTGGACAACCTTTGTATAATCCACTTCATCCAGACACGCCATGACGATGCTGAAGTTATTTCACAATCATCTCATTATTTTAAGTCTGATCTTTGTCTCATTTCTCGCTTTCTACGAGTGTAAGTTCAACTTTTAATTAATTGATCATGCTCCGTGTGTTAAACATGCATGAATCCCGTTCTTATTCTCACAACAAATGAACATATGGATTTCATAATTGTCATGGTCATATTCTTATTTGTTATCTTGTATGTAGGCACAAGAATTGGAGGTAATCACGGACGTGAAATTGGTGTTTCAAATTTGTCAAGCAAACGTGATTTCATGTTTTGCAAGGCATATACTGTTGGTCCCAAAACAGAGTATTGTTGTTGTAACGATCTTATAAACTGCTACAACGATCAATTTCAATGTGTAATGGGTTGCTTAAGTGCAAAACCTCCAAAAACATGTGATCTGAAAATTTAGACTACATAATAATGAGTATAATAAGATCATGTGTTGGCTGATGGCTATACCTCTATATGTGTATGAAATGAGATGCAGATGAATTTGCTTTCTAAGCCATAATTGAATAATGATTTAGTATTATCTTTAGATCTTGTGTCATTGAATGATTTTGGTTTATAAATCATTTAGTTTTGAAAATAAACGAAGACAAAGGACTATGTAACTCACCAAGAACGGCTTTGTGAGCAGTCCTTTATTAAATCAAGATCGATATCATCATATTACTAGATGGACAATTTATCAAACTTACTCGCATTTAAATATTGGTCTTATATCAAACTAGTCAAGGAGACAGCTACGAGAAAATAATATACTACTACTACTACTACTACTACTAAACAATTACTTTTTAAACATTAAAGGGTGTTTACTAAATGCCTATCCAGTAAAATTCTAACACTATCACTTATTTACCGGGTAAAATTTAAGTCCATCAAAATGGTACCGTATGCAATAATTTATCCAGTAAGCGCTAACCATAGTAAGAGTCATTACTCTCACTTACTGGGTAAGACTATCGGTCCTTGTCCTTTGCTCTTACCATATTCATTCTAAGATAATATGTCTTGATAAACATTTACCCGATTAAGCATATGAGATAAACAACCTCTAAATATTGGACGCTATGTATATTGTATATGTTGTATCTTTTTTCATAACATATGGTTAAGCACCTTTGTTACATTGGAAGTGAACAATGTTTTACGTTTGTTGATGCTTCCTGTTTGATACATTATATATATATATATATATATATATATATATATATCAAGTAACTTAACAGTTTATGTGATAACTTGTCTCATATTGATATGGCGGAAATTGGTATTTGTTAGCACATTTAAGTGGGTGAGGGTTATGACAACCCATCTCATATGGATAGAAAATAGGATTTATGAGCTTCTTATAAGCAACGTATTATGAACTACCACTAATTTCTACCATGATTTTAAACTTGATTTAAGTTATTGGATCCACATGTTGCTTTAAGTTGGGGGTGTTAAAAAATTACATAAAAGCTAATCAATGTACTAGCGGGATGATGAGGGCAAACCTCATCAAACACGATAACTCCCTAAAAGGGATGTTTGTAACATCTTAGGTGAATCTCGCACCAACTGTAAGCAATTTAGATGTTATAAGATTAGTTTGTTGCTTTTGGGATTATTGATGTTCCAATTTCACCAAGAATAGAGAGTTTCTTTCGTGTGTTTAACCTTCTTATCAAATAACAATTATAAAGATACTAAACAAGGAAGTTCATGCATTTCTATATTACTACTAATAATGAAACACAGTTTCCTACAAAGGGTATATTGTTCTATCGAGTGATAGGATGCCTCTAAATTTTTCCGTGCATTTAAAACCTACGAGTCATATTTTCATGTTATATTATTTTATCTGTAAGCAAGACACATTTCTATATATTAGCCATTCCAAACCATATGTAACGTTTTTTCATCACAACTAAAATGTTATAGTTGCCTATGATACATACAACATTATGTTGTTTAGTATTTAGTCATTCATTTTTGTTTACAGATCACAATAATTACATGATGTTTAACTATGAAAACCTACTTTTAATATAATACGATAGACCCCCCCCCCTCCCTCCCTCCTCCAAACCCTTCCGTTTGGATTAAACAACATATGGACTACCCTTCTGTTTGGATCAAACAACATATGGACCGGTTAAGCAAAATGCAACACGTGACAACAAGGTCCCGGAGGACATGACGTGATGCTAACAAAGGTCCAAATTGATATTCGATGTAATTTACCATGTGATGCTGTAAAAATAATGTTATTTAATAAATAAAAAAAACTTGCCAAATTATGTATAACAAAGTTGGACCGATAACACCTTTAAGTAATTTCGTTATCATACGTAACATGTGTGTACATGTTTACACAAAAATAAATAAATGTAATTAAAAAATGATATGTCATAATTGTGGGACCTTCTATTGATCTCTCTCTAAATTATGAGATATATAAGAATCCGTGCATCATGTGCTATTTTATATAAAAAAAATCATCTATGGCTATAATTTAATGTAGTGGTTAACATATATTTATTTCACATATACTAGTTCACAATGTGAACATTTTGGCGTGTTTGTGAAAAAAAATACGTATAAAGAAGTTTCACATTGTAAAGCACATACATATGAAATAAACAAATTGTAAAACAAATACATATTAATCAATACCTTAAATATGAACTTAAATGAAAAAAAAAATCAAAATATGAGTTCTCACGTACCTCATCAAATTTTGAATTCTCAAATTAATAAATTGTTATAACTTACTAATTTGGGGGAAAAACCTGGATGCTTCACATCAAAACGGTTATTTGACCCGAAACCGGACTTAATTGGGTCGGGTCAGCATTGCTCCAAATCTTGTAGCTTATTTTCTCCCAAACCTTCTGCCCCTCATCTCCAAACCAATTTTTCTACTCAACCGAGCTGCAACCAGTTATGGAGATGGCGACAATGGCTTCCCATTTCTTCCCCACCGCACGCATATTATCAAAAGCCAACTCAAGAAGCAATCCTACTTTAACCGCTTCTTTATCGTCATCATCATCCCCGTCTTCTTATTCCTCTATTACAACTTCCTTATCCACCAATTTTATCTGTCCGTACGTCGCCAGCAGTGTTTCCAGCGACTTCTCCGGTCATAAGATTCGACCTGCATCTCTCAACCCGTCTTCAAGCTCTCATGGAAAACGAGTCGGTGTTACTATGGTATTTCCCCCCTTTCCCAGCCTCATTTAAATTGCAATTCGTTGTTATCTTAGATCTTTTTATGAATATAATTAATCCTTTGAAAATTGCATCTTATTAGTCAATAGATTACTGTTTGAATGAAATAAAGCAGTCGACGATAAGCAGAATTGATTTCTCCCTTTCAATTTTGTGTTTATGGCAAGCTACTGGTTCGATTCCAGCAAAAAAAAGTCATAGTCTGAAAAAATTATGTGCTTGATTAGAATTGACTTGAATATAGTTACTTTGCAAAATCCCCAAACTTCATATTGCTAATTTAGCGCCCCTGGGTTCAAGAAGGCCATATATATATATATATATATATATATATATATATATATAGAGAGAGAGAGAGAGAGAGAGAGAGAGAGAGGACAAATCAAATACAAACCACCTAAATGTTACACACCGTACAAACTAATTTCGTTTAATGCCTTTCCAAGAAAAACAAAACAAACAAAGTGGTTCTTGATTCTTGAATGTATTAGAGCATAGCAAATAGCCCCTATTTTATTTTATTTTTTTGTTCAGAAAGCTACTGACTTTGTTTGGCATAGAAGGTTTGCAGTTTGATCATTTATTTGGATTTATGTTAGAATGAATGAACATACTGATATGGTCGAAAGAAACCTAAGGGATTTGTTGTGGTAACCCTAAACTACTTGACTAGCACGGGGCTTTGTTATTGTTTTATGGGGTTACAAGGAGTTGCAAATAGATTACTTGAATAGGTCATTCAGTTGCTTCAATAGTATAGGATTCTTTTTCTTACCAAATTTCTCATACTCCTGCTGTCAACTTGAAGTTGGTATATGCCTTCTGTATTCTTTCATGATATTGTGACAAGTATTGTTGTGATTTGTCAATCTTTCACCCTTTAAGCAGGCACAAGAAGCATATGCCTATTATTATTCAAAAATGTGTTATTGTCCTGATTTGGGGGGTCAAAGAAGTTGTGTTTTGCATGAATCACCATGGTGTTTATATTGTTAGGATGTTGGTTTAAACCTCTGATGGACAATTCATGAGGACTAAAGGTGGATAGCATCTTAAGCTATTGTAATCATTTAAGAAATTATTTAGTTAGGATAACGCAGCTTGTTTTCCAGAAAAAGTCCATATACCGTTGATGTTCTTACTGGGATAAACATTTAGAATGACATATGTATTAGTACATAACTAGATTGCTGAGGGGAACTGGCAGAACTTCTGTTGATCCATTTGTAGTCGTGTATATATAGGAAGCGACTTGATAACTCGAGAGATGCTCGAAGGACAGATCTCTTTACTCAAAAGCTGGTGAAAGCAGACTATGAAGGACAGAGGGGTGGATATGTAGGCCTATGAACAAAAATATATGAGGAACATTTTCTTTTGGGGGCTTCCCCTCCTTGCGGTTGAGCTATGAGGAAGACTTTATATTTCTAGCCAAAAGTTAGTCATGTACAATATTTGAGGGGTACATATTTGTGAAATAGCAGAAGTATCCCTGGTAGGAGATAATTTGGGAAATACCTGTGCATTCTGTAGAAGCACGTCATAGGCTTGTAGGTGAGTCTTAGAGAGTGGCCGTTTCAGGGTTAATTGTATCTACGAGGACAGTGAAGACATAATGCCACTTGGATATAGATATGGCAGAAGAATCTTCTAGTTTAGCAAGGATTATCAATAAGGATAGAGGTAAAAGGTAAATGATTCATTTAGGTTTTCAAGTCAATTATTCTATAGTTTGAGGAAGCTCTAGAAGGAAGGCAGTTGAACTAGCAAATACACCTCCAGTTTATCTTTTCGAATTTTAATGAGATATAGAACATGGAGAAACTTCTGGTTTGTTTCTGGATGATCAGAATCCAATAGTATTTTCATTCCATATGGCTGTAACGTTTACCATGTCATCAATGAGGAAGGAAAGAGGGTAATGATGAAAAAGACGATTTCTCTATGTCAATGTTTCTGGGTCTGCCAAAAGCCCAAAACTAGGGAGATCCATCCTTCTCTATAGCTAGCCAGCAACCTCCTGATATGCGTAGAATGCAACAATAAATAAGTATTGTCTTCTATAGCATACGGAATACAAGCTTTCTTGTCCAAGATACTTCCCATTGACACCTGCTATTTTGTTATAATAGTTGAAGTAACATATGAACCCCTGACCCAACCTTTGGGTGAGATACACTGGTTTGTTTGGTTTAGTTGAAGTGACATATTAACAAGTAAAAAGTCATTTTTCTTTTTTGTCAAAAGGACTTTCTTACCCTCTTTGGAGACATGGGTTATTCACTTATCCCTATGCTTCCAAGTTCCTTGGCCCTTCGTCATTTTTTAATAAACTAAATCTGATCAGGAAAGACTAATATCAGATGCGTAGTTTTCATTTTTGAGAATAACAATGTTACAAATGATTCTAGACCTTTCAGTGACTTTGCACTCTCTCATTATGTTCATTTTCTTTCACATTAATGATCAATTTGGCTTTACTACCTCCCAGAATTCCACATCCTGTTTGAAGATATTTTTTCTTACTGTACGCATATTTATGCATGAACATTCCAGCTGTTATTAAGTTGCCCTCTCTTAACTTTAGTTAATATCTCTTTGACCCTCACTCTTTCTACCTCACTGTTTAGAGGAAAAGGAGGAGATACTAGATAGGACTATAGGAATATCTCTTTATAGAGAAAGAGAAAAGGTTAGGTGTTAAGGGTTGCTACTGTTAATCCAGGGAAACAATTAACTATAGAATACATACTATTAAAAGATTCAAGGGTAATACTGGAAATTTATGGTAAAAAGAAGATAATCAAACATGGAAAAGATGATTTCCATGTCAAAAGAATAAAAAGTTTCAGATGAAAGAGCCCATGTTTGACTTTTGAGTTCCAACCAAGTTATTTTATAGAATTGAGAAGAATCAATTGCTTCGTGTAGAAACTCTACATACGCTATATATAGGCTCACTTGTTATTGGCATGTATATTCATTTGCTGTACCTATCTTGACAGGTTATTCCTTTCTCAAGAGGAAGTGCCTGGGAGCAACCACCTCCAGATTTGGCATCTTACTTGTACAAGAATCGAATTGTGTATTTGGGTATGTCTCTAGTCCCCTCTGTCACCGAACTAATACTGGCAGAATTTCTTTACCTACAGTACGAGGATGACAAAAAGCCAATATATCTTTACATAAACTCTACAGGAACTACCAAGGTATTGACTTTCTTATCCAAGATACTTGATAAATTTGTTACTGTGTAAAGTACTATCCCCTCTGTCCTAAAATAAATGCAAGTTTTCACTAAACAGATGGTTTAATGGAAATGTTTTATTATTTTTTCAATTATCTAAAGTATCCCATAATAAATAGAGCACGTTTGTGGACTAAAATTGATGTTCATATTATTTTGTGAAGATTATTAATGGAAAGAGGGGTAGTATTGGATAATTGTAGATGAAGTAGAATTTTGATCTTTCTATTAGCTGTTGGTTTATGGAACATTAGATTATTATTACACTTGACAATCAAAGTACAAATTGCTAACAAATTCTACTGTCAAGCAAGGAGTGGCTTTGCCAACTTCTTTTGAACAACCTCAATTGTGTAGAATTATCGTTGCTTTACTTTCTTGAATACTGTTTACCTTGGTTAATCTAACCACTATTTGATATCCAAAAGAAAATGATGATGAACTTCAGAACCCCCATTTAGGGGTGTTATTCGGACGGTTAAATCGGTTTTCGGTTTGGATTAATCGGTTTTTAACTTTTCTATAACTAACCAATAACCAACCAAATAAGGTTCGGTTTAATCGATTTCTGGTTATTTGATTCGGTAACTGGTTGAACCGAATAAGAATCCATATTTTTCATTGGACACTTGCTCAAACAATTTTTCCAAATTCAATGCACTTTGCTTCTAATATATAATTGTATCATACATTCATATTTAACAATTGACTTGTAATAATTAAAAAACCTCATTTACCCAAAAACAAATTTACCAAAAGACATTATTTTCTCCATGTGACAAATTATATCAAGTAAAAAACATAATATAACAAAAAACAATATCTACCAATAAACAAAAAACTTTATATAATACTAAAATATGTAAAATATAATAATAGTATAATGTGTATTTTGTTTTATTTTTATAAAAATGAAATATATAAAATATAAGTAGGATGTGTTATTCCGTTAATTCGGTTTAAGCGAATTAGAAAAAATTTAACCGAAAACCGAACCAAATAAGGATTCTTTTTCGGTTAACCAAACCGTTTAAGCCTAAAACCGAATAACTCAAAACCGCATTGGGTTCGGTTTGGTTATTCAGTTTCGGTTATTTTTGACACCCCTACCCCCACTTGCATGTGATACCTCTGTGCATGTGACTGTAAGAGCATGTTTGTTAGCAGCTTAATGAGCTTAATGGGACTCACAACTTATTCAGTCAGCTATATATGACTGTTTGGTAGTGGCTTAATGATATAGAAACTGGCTTGTCCCAATAAGCTTCTAGGGGAAGTTTTGGTGCAAAAAGTCAAGTTTTTCCAAAACCTGTCCCTCCCAATTCAGTCCCAATTAAAGCCACGTTCCTCCATCTATGAAAAAACCTTCACGAACAAAAACTTTCTCAATCTATATATACAAATTAATCTATACAGACAGCTTTAGCTGTTCAGGACTTGATGAAAAACCAACCAAAAAGCCCCTAAGTCTCTAAACGTGAGCATATACACGCACACATACACAGAGGCTAAGATAAAGAATCAACAATAGTTTGATCTGCCAACAGATAGTTTTGACATTCCAAAAAGTTCATGTCAAATATTCTGTTTTCCATTTTTGTCAATGTTGCTTGAAGGTTTGCAAACCTCTTAGTAAATTGACTAAAAGACAATAAACCCGCATTGGGATATTTGTTAAAAATATTCTTTCAGGGATTAAACTTTTGAGACATTCAGCATAAACATGGGATGACAAAGGCAATTCATGTTAGACAAATTGTGTTGACAAAATGACAGCTCCAAGAATGCTCTTTTCAATTAGATTGCTATAAAGAATTAATAAACTTCGAATACGATCTTGCCTTGGATTTTCTTTTACATTTTCCAGGGTGGTGAAAAGTTGGGCTATGAAACAGAGGCATTTGCAATTTACGACGTCATGAGGTAGTAACTCTTGCTTCTCACCAATACGCCTTTACGCTTATAAATGTCATTGCAATAGTAGTTTCTTACATCATTAATTGGTTGCTTATATACCAACAGTTACTATAATCGATCTTTACCTATATGTATCATTTGTTGGATCGTGAATTGTTATAGTTCTTTATAGCGTCAGATGTTTTATGGTTGATGATATTCTATAGCTTTTATAACTAATTTTCATTTCTAACTTTAAAGAAGTCATCTCCATAGACGTATCCATAGCTACCAATGGTCCCTTAACAACTAGGATATCTACACACTTTATTTAGCTGAATATATCAATCAGCTAATAAAGGTATTATGAGTACGCAAATGAAATAAAGATGAATTTTTTCACGTACCCTTTTGCAGGTATGTGAAGCCACCAATCTTTACGCTATGTGTTGGCAATGCATGGGGAGAAGCGGCCTTGCTGTTGGCTGCTGGGGCAAAGGGAAATCGTTCAGCCCTGCCCTCGTCAACCATCATGATAAAGCAGGTGAGTTATGATGGAGATTTTTGGTATGTAGTCTCTAGATTACTCACAGTGTTGGTCGTTTTGCAGCCAATCGCTAGATTTCAAGGTCAAGCTACGGATGTTGAGATTATGAGAAAAGAAATAAAGAACGTGAAGACTGAATTGGTTGGTATTTAAATGTTGGTTAAATAAAAAGAAAAAAAGTGAAGAATTGAGAAATTATTAAGGTCTGTTTGTTGTATAATGATTGAAGGTGAAACTGTATGCGAAGCACATAGGGAAGACAACAGAGGAGATTGAAGAAGATATAAGGCGTCCAAAATACTTTAGTCCTAGTGAGGCTGTTGAATACGGAATCATTGATAAGGTCTTACTCCCCCAAATTCTCATACATATATATATATATGAGAGAGAGGTCTAGGGGAAAACCCCAAAAAAATGAAAAAATTGAGGAACACCTTAATAACCATTCATCCGTACAATAGATGTATCCTGGTTTTTATGCAACTGTGCATGTTGTGCACATGTGCATACCGGAAAAATTACTTGTATGCACATATACATACCGTACTAGGGTGTTCCTCATTTTTTTCATCTTTTTGTTGTTTTCCCGTAAACCCTATATATAGGGGCAGGTCAGTGTGACACATAACATATACATCAGGAGTATGGAATTCATCATGAATTTATTCATGATGAATAACACATGGTGCGTTGTGAGCGGCTCCCGTGTTCCTAATCAATTGTGGGTTCCATATGGAACTTTCCTCTCTCTCACTATATATATATATATATATATGTGTGTGTGTGTGTGTGTGTGTGTGTGTAGTTTATTTGTATTTATGTGTGTGTGTATGTAGGTTATTTACAACGAGAGGGGGAGTGAAGATAGAGGAGTCCTTTCTGACCTGAGGAAATCGCAGCTAATATAACCATGTTGATCAGCACTAGAGGCAATTCACAACCGCGTTAGGGGCTGTTTGTTTTTTCGTGTCTGTATGGATTAAGTGTCTGAATTGAATCATCAGCAGCCTGTTAGTCAGCTTTGCTGTTGTAGTTGTTGATGGCAGTGGTTGTGGTTGTGGTTGTATTGGCAATCAAGAAACTGAGCTGAGACCACGATGTGCCCAGATGGATTGGTTAAAGGGAGCATGACTAGTGTAAAAGGCAAAGGCAGTCAAAGTATGGTTCATTTCTGAATCCAATATCGTTTTGTTATACAACTGTATAAACATATACATGCGCCATCAGAGGTTCAAACGCACTCTTGCTTTACAAAAATATAAAGAGACTCCAAATTAATTAACTCTTAATAAAAATTGAAGTCAATAAAAACAAAATAATATTTATCAGTTGTCGATAATGATGTGATAATACTTTTAATAAATTAAAGATTTTTTATGTTAACATCTCCAAATGTATAACCGACATATTGATACATTGTGATTGATGAGTATATTATTTATATATGATTTTAAGGATGGAAGTCATCAAGATCAAGATAAATAAGAAATCACATGACTATCCTTAATTATTTACTTTCTTTTCTTTTATTTTTCATTACGAGCAAAATAATTTGGTGGACCGGAAATGTTCTTGCATTTACGTGTTCTCGTTCAAACCTCTGCATATATAGGGAGGATCATGCATTTATGAATTGAATTAACGACTATGAGTATTGCTTTTTGGAAGTGATTTGGTATAAGTTGCAACAAAATTGAAGCTTCTTTATTTCAATCCTTATTTTGAAAAGTTTGATTTTAATAGATATTTCAAATAACAAAGTATAGCAAAAAAGAACTCGAAAATGAATTCGTTCTATTTTTTAGCATATTCGTTTGAAAGACACTAGAATGGTACTCTCACAATGCAACGAGATATATTTTCATTTTAATGTTTCGTTTTATTTTTTGTATCTGTTGATAAATATGGTTTATGTGGTTTTGAGAAAGATGATGTTTTTATTTTTGAATAAAAATAAATTTTAAAAAATATATCGATATTAATATTAAATTAACTATTTGAAAGTTCTCGGTTTTTTGTATAATTTCTTTAATTCAATTTCTTATTATAATTTAATTTAAGTCAAATAGTGAAGTAATTTATTTTTGGCTTAACAATAAAAAAAAATTATAAAGATAATGATTATGTTAGAACTCAATGATTATCCTAATTACATTTTAGATTTTTTATATTTAGAATGAGATATTTATCTTGTATTTGATTATGTTTATCTGCAGTTAGTTATACGAATTAAAAAATGGAGCTTTAATAAGTTGTACACACGTACAATTCACTTGTAACATTAAATTTTAAGTAATATGCATTAATACACGGTACTTCATGTACAAAGAATGATTTTTAAGAGTTTTTATCAAACATTTTATAATATAGTATAGATAAGTGCATTTGATTCATTCATTCATTGCTAGTCGTTCTCCAAAATCAAGTTTTTATTTTTATATAAATTTGTCCTCACAATAATAGAATTAAATACCCGAGCAACATAATAATTTAAAAATATCATAAATCTCCCAAATATGTTTGATTTCAACTTAACATACAAAATACATGATCGTAGATAAACAATTCATTAGAAAAACTTAACTATTTATGGTCTGGAAGTTGAACGGGTCAACTATTATGCCATTTCCAATGACCCGGTTGGATAGATGAGTAACCCATTAATGGGCAGGGCCAACAGTTTTGATAGACAATTATGGAGAATGGGCGATGATGAGGTGGGACGGGAAGCAATATCGTTAAGTACGGAGGTTTGAATAACACAAAGTTTGGGAACAATAAAATCTTATTTCTTTTTACTTTAAAATCTTCTTACCCAGTAACATGTAGCTTTTTTGAGTTAAAAGATTGTATGAAACCAACTTTTTAAAAATTTGATGGTTTACTTACTAAAAAATGTTGATGGATTTAAAATGAAAAGGTTCAATAGTCTATTCATTAAAAAACTTTTGAGACTTAATCGTTCAAAAATGAGAAATCTCGTTAAATTTTTATCCAAACAAAATACATTTACATACAATAAACGAATTAACACATGTGCCACCATCCATAGACCACCACTATCACCATGACTCTTCCACCACCCACCACCAACAGAACAGAACACTTCCACCATCCCATCAAGGTTGGGTTCTTAGTGAGAACAGAAGAAGTTGTGTTGTGAGAAGGATAAGAAAGAATCTTCACTCTTAAGATCAATTATAATTGAAAATCAACACTGATGAGATGTACCGGATCAATTCCCAAATAAAAAGCGTAAATTCATGGGATGAGGGTGAGATTAAAAATGATCAAAGTTCTAGATTCTTTCTTACGCTTCTCACTTTAACTCTTATTTTAGACTATTTTTTACGCTTCTCACTTTAACTCTTATTCTCACACAATCCTTTGCTAACACTTCTTAAACAAGGGTAATAAGCCTGAACTTATTGGTTCATCATACTGTGCGAAACCCCACATCAAGGAGTAAACTAAAAAGGGATTACTTTTCCATGTTTGGCATTGTTAAGTGGAAAATGCATGTTCCACCCCTACTCATGGAACAAGTTGGGGCAAGATGGAATAAACTTATATTTTACCAATATATCCTCAAAATAGAACTTAATTCTCTTGTAAAACATCAAATATGTCTTTAAATATTTACTTTAATGTCCTCAAAAATTCCATTTTTTTATACATTTTCTATATTTTAGTTATATTATTTAGTTTATTATATATTGATAATAAAAAACATAACCTAGACAAGGTATAAAAATAAAATTTGGAAATTCCATAAACCCATTAAGGGTAAATTAGTCATTTTTACCAGTCTTATGTTGAAGAGTTGTCTTAAGCACAGTACGGAATTTGACATAGCCTAAAAAACAGGTGTTTGCTAATCAGAGAAAATATGAACATAGCCATCCAGTAAAGAACTTGAGCTACAATTTGTGTCATTAGGGATATGAGCATACTAGTTGAAACTAAACCATGGGCATAGCATAGAATCTAACACATCATGGCGTAAAGCATCGCAAAAGCTAACACCACCATATAGCACAAAAAGAGATTGGCAATTGATGGTATTATAAATGTCTGATTTCACTTACATACCTAATAAAGCCGGCCCGTACATTCTGAAGAACCGCAATAGCAACTCTTGATCTTTATATTGCCATCAGAATCATGGACCGTATCCACTGCGTAGTTGTAATGATACGTCAACTCCTGTAGCGGAGGAATATTTTCTGCAGCGAAAAGCATTATATGCGGCATTCTTTTGTCCTCCTGGTCGTAAAGTACATTCTGTGCATACAGATTTGGTGAACAACTGTGGTTAATAAACCTACCCACATTTCCGTAATGTGCTGCATCAATCGTGAATCCACCACCCTCCACTACCTCCCCAGGGCTCGGTTTTGTACAGTCGTTATAGTTCTGTCCGATATCAAATAAGTACTCGTCGTTCCCAGTTCGTTTCTCAGCTTCTGTGTCTTCCAGAAGCTCTCCTATATACTCGCATATAAAACTTCCTGAAGAGATCGAACTCAAAGACCTCACCCCCCACCCTCGTGATTCGGTTTTAAAGATCTCAAGCTCAATTTTCATACCATTCTGTGTAACTCTGTTATAGCAACTAGGAGGACACCTGCAAGACGGGCCACACTCATAAACCAGCGGCTTTGCTTCAACTATCGCACCATTATGGTTGTATGGAATCTCACCGTCATTCTTGAAAGCACACGAGCATCTTTTGTCAGAGCACCGACCAACACAATCACAACCTTTGGGGGGAACAGGGCAATACCAATCTGGATAGATGATCTTTGTAATGTAAGTGAATGAAGGAGGCTTCTCATCGTCAATTGTGTTGATAGCACATATTGGGAACACTTCTTTGCCGCCAGTTATATCATCAACACAAATACCTTCTCGTTTCTCGAATTTCTTGGACTTGACTTCCCTCAATGCAAGCTCGGGTTGTCCTGGAATTCTCTTCAATTCAAACTTATATACCATATTGCCAAGCTGTCCTGGTTCCTGATAGTACTTCTCTACTGTGTATAACCCATCATATATGTATGTTGTGATTGGCCTTGATCTTGAATCTGAAGGTTCGGTAGGCTTGGATTTAGATCCACGGATAACTCGCACTGGAATCTTTGTGAGTATATTGTTCTTCAAAGCTAAATTTCCCTTTTCAAGCTTTTGGTCTTCAACCTTTTTATCTTTTCCAATCCCCCCCGAACCGGAGTACGTTAAGACGTCTGGCTTGCCAAGTTCGTTATCATAACCCCCTGAAGCAACAACACTAACTGCAACAAGTTCTTTGCCTTTCTTAGTATAATCTATGCCTGCCTGAAGAGTCCAGTGAAGACCAACCAAAGCAAGCTCCACTCTGTACTGAAACTCATCTCCAACCTCAACTCCAGGTATGGGTCCCCACGCTTTTTTACCACGATCAGGTGCTCTACCTTTCTCTTGGAGAATTGTTTTTGCCATAAGATCAGTTCGACCTTTTTTTGTTTCTTCGCCGTCCCTTGTTCTTGCTTCTTCCCCCTGCAAAATCTTCCGACATAAAGCATGAAAAAGCCTTAGAGTTTCGCGAACTTTATTTCGGACATCATTGGAACTCTTGGGACCAAAAGGAGGCAGCACCACATCCACATTGTGTGCTCCATGGGAAGTAGGAGGGCCTTCTTCTCCTTGTTCTTCAGTAGCTACAACAAAATCATCGTCATCCCTCACAACCATCTCAAGTGTACCGGTATACGCAACCTTTTTCTCAGAGGAGCTCGACTCTTTTTCTCCATGTTTAGCTTTTCTCTTTGTAGACTTCCTTGGTGTTTTAGTTTTGGAGGCATGCACCTTGGCATTACTGGTTGTAATACCATCCAAGTTGGCTAAATTCTCTTGTTGACTTTCTTGTGGACCACATGATTGAGCCATCAGACACAGCACCACCCTCCTTTTCTCTCCAATAAATCCTACATTGTTGGTATCATCAAACATCCTCTTCTTAAGGCGTTTCTCATGCCCCAGTCTATCAAATTCAGCAATGATATTCTTGATGTCTTTTTGAGGTGATCCGATACTTGGTGTCACTACAATCTCCTGTGTTCCATAATTCTGGACATGCTCATCTTGAAACTCCTCTTCTGAATCTTCACCATGGGCATCAGCTGAACATCTTCCCTCCGAGACTGTATCACGCTTGTAGACCACAATCTCCTGGCACCCTTGACCTGTGACAGATTTGTCACTGTTTTGAGGTATGGTCCTGTTGTTTGGTTCAACCCCAGTAATATCATGTTCAAACTTCAAGATTTTCCCATCTTGCAGGTTTATGTTTGATTGCTCACCACCACCTATAGTTTTTTCTGTTGATATTTCACCTCCAACTTCATCTCCCATGGGAGGCTCATTGCTTAGTTCATCCGTTTGAGTTTTCTGGAGAACATCCACCACCATAGCCTCTGTCAATCTCACATTTTCTGCACCACCCTTATCCTCAGTTCCAAAGCTACTCTTTCCATTAATTCTTTTGCGTTCTTCTTCCGTTGGGTCAGTTGCATTCAAACCACAATAAGGAGGAAAATCCCGAACCGCAGAAACTCTTCTCCGAGGAAATTTGATCTTTGGAGTAGCTTCTTTGATAACACAAACACCATTTTCCATCCCGTGTGTTGGTGACAAAAGCTTTACATCAACCACTGCATTCACGGGGCCATTAACAACCTCCTTTGATACAGCTTGATCCTCTCCATTCTCCAGTTCCTTTTTCACCAAGGTCTCCTCTATCTCCACTATGTGAGGCTCCACAATCAACATTGCCCTTCCATCCTCTGTAGATTTTGACACATCAGGAGGCAAAGATTCAACCTGTGCTGCCGATATCCCAGCAGCATCCTTAGCTCCATTACTATTATTATTAACCAACGTTGAAGATGCATCTGGTTCTTGAGAAACCACATTAACTGGCTGAACAATCGGTCCACACCCTCGTGGAAAACTCCTAACAGCAGACACAGTGCGAGGCTTCCATTTGGAGGGAAGAACAGAATCCCCATTCAAGGAACAACTGCCATTCTCAGTTCGACTTCTCATCACACTCCCATCAGATAAAAATTCATTCGACATCATCACCATTATCAACAGAAAAATAGATCGTTTGATTCCTGGCAACTAACCGATAATCAAACAGATGATTATAAAACAAAAAAAAATCCCCTAAGGTCTAGGGTTACAAAGAGGAAAATTCTATTGTTCACTTTCACATATACATACAACAATAATCGATGAAAATATAAAATTAGTAAACGGTAAATATACTAAACAACAACAATCGAGACGATTTAGAAACGATGCAGTTAGGGCACTGGAAATAAAAGCAACGGTTTGCATAGATAATCGAGATGATAGAATGATAAAAACGTCGAGAAAAACCAAAAGAGGAAAGAAATTACCTTGAGATCTGGAGATGATATCCAGAAGAAACGAAAAGAAGGTTGTGAAAGAAGATATTCAGAATCCCCTTGGCTTGCTTGCTTTGTTCTATGCTGCCATGTTTGTAGGTGGTGAAGCAGCGACACATGTATGGCAGAAAATAACAGTTTTACATCGTATCTCTCTTATATACATACAACATCGTGTATGTATAGTTCATGAGTACGAATTAGTCAAGCGTGGTCTACAATCGTAAATAATTTAATATTGTAATCAATACTACTCCTAATAATATAATATCTCGTTTTAATTGGGGGAGTGCTAATGGCACCCCTTGGTAAGATAAAATAAAATTATAGTTATTTATAAAAGAATCATCTTTACATATATGTTTTAATTAATAAATCATCAAACTTTTAAAAATTGTTTACTTGAATCATTTAAATCTAAAAAAATGCTACATATTTATTAATAATTTATATTAATTAAAATATAATATAAAAATATAACAGAAAAAAACCTTAACATATATGTAAAATATTTATTTATTATTAATATTTATATTAATTAAAATAATATGATTAAATATTATAAAATACATATTAAAATATAACATATATACGATAAAAAATATATATTTATTAATAATTTGTATTAATCAAAATATAATATAAATAAACAGAAAAAAACAAAATAAAAAATTTATATTAAATTAAAATTTCTTTAAAAATAACAATAAAACAAAACATAAAATAAAATAATAATAAAAAACACTAAAAATAATAATGACAACTAGTTTTATGGGTGGTAATGGCAATTGATAGGGGTGTCATTAGTCTCCCCCTTTAATTGAATTGGGCCGGATTCAAAATTTCAACATCTAAAATTGAATCGATTTGTTCTTGGATAACAATTTAAAATCCAATAAAATCGAACTTATCCAATCAATGATATATATAATTATTAACATATTTTGGTAGTTGATTATTATACGTGGTGGTTTCTAATAAATAAACAAAATATATGAATAATTTTTTGAAAATTGTATCAATAAATTTGATGAATTTAATCCGACGAAATGGATGACCAATAATAATATCCAATAAAAGGTTTCAATCATCCTTTTTCAATGTTAATTGGATTAAATCGAATGACAAAATCCAATATCCATTAGATGATTGGACTGGATCCACCTAAATTCATTGGATTTCAACCGATGAATATCGTTTCTTTGCTACATAATATCAATCAACAAGTCTCAAACATGAAACCATAATCATACAACATAAACTTGATCAAATTAATAAAATATGATACGTAAAAGGTGGTCGTATTGGATTTTATAGTACTATTTTAATTGATTCATACCTGATATATGATATAAAAATAATAATAACCTTTATTTATTTATAACGAGAGACATCAAAATTGTGATGTTATTAAGAGGCTTAATCCTTGGATAACCCATCAAAGTAGTTGTTATATTCGTATTTGTTTAATATCTTAATAATAACATATATATATATATATATATATATATATATATGTATAACCCATCCTACATCTACATCTATATCTACATCTACATCTACCAAATGAAATAATAATTTGTTGTCATTTGATATTATGATACTTCTCTACTTGTGCATGACATTTAAAAAAAATATCTACCACTATTCATTAAATTTATTCTCTAGATTAAGTCTTAAAACATATCCATAAAATAATACACTTAGTGCAAAAAATGGATCAGGGTCTTAGATTTGTACTATGACAAACCAATCAATGGTATTATCAACCGTACTAATTCAGTTAGTACCAATTTAGTTGGTTATTGGTACATGGTATTGAAAATCGTCTACCACGGTAATACCATACCGTACCGACTTATATATATATATATACATATGTTTATTAAATAAAAAATCAATTAAGTGAATTTCATTTAATTATTAATGCATTTGGGTTTTTAGAGGAATTTAATCATTTATTAATTTAACATTTTATTTGTTTACTGTTCACTTTAACTCTAGTATATCGGTTACTATTACTCACTTACTAGTTAGGGGATAACACCTCTCATAGCAACCCCAAGTCCCTAACTCGTACCTCAACTTTTGAGATATTGGTACAAAACCGTACCAACATGTACCAATCGAAAAAAGTTAGTACCAAGTAGAGTCGGTTGGTATATGGTATACAATTGGTTCGTACATAGTATTGAGAAAACAACATGGTACCGTACAATGTTCACCCCTAAGATTGATATAAATCGAATAAGGTTTTGGGTCTCATATTTCAAACAAGGACTATGACATAGAGCAACCCTCATACATTGACCTACCAGCTACCGACAACTTATGAGAAGATTGCGTTATACCATGTGCCTTTGTCTCGAAGTCATGCTATCTTCTTCTGCTAATTGCCATGCCTCTTCTATCATGTTATTATATATGGTTCGATTTATGACATATCAAAAGGAATATCTTTTTATTAGTAAATGTATAACGAGCATGTTTAGAGACCTATAAACTCACTGGCCATACATCTTAGAGGATGTCATAGCAAGTAGCTCGAAATGAAAATAAAATAAAAAACATGTTGCAGGTCTTGGAATTGGAATTGGTATTGGTATTGGTATTTTACTTGGACATATTAACTTTCAATGCTTGTATTTATAATCGTAAGTTATAGTTTAAATGAATTATATTACGATGGACAAGTACTCAGAGCCTTAAAGAGTGGGATATGACCATTTAGGCCATTGGGAATTATTTATTTACTTTTAATATTTTTGTGTTCCTATAATAATGTATATTTCTTTTTAATATAAAGTTATCTTGTTGAGTATTATATGTATTATTTCTTTCAATTTAACTACTTATGATGATAAAAATATTTCCTAAATATTAATATATATATTAAAAGCAAAAATAATATATAAATATTAAAAAAGGAGCAATGGGTCGGGCCCTTAATGGGTCTGGGCTTGTCATGCATTATCATAACGATTTACACAACAACAACGACCATATCCATATGTATGAGTATGATCATACGATGTATCCCTATCCTCCTCATTCATTTTTAATTATTGTATTTTCATTATTTGCATATATAATTAATAAAATACACAACCCCACATAGTGATATAGGATGTACAAAATATTTTAGACAACTATCAGATTGGAATTGCTATTATGCTAATAAGTGTTCCATAAAACTAACATCGAAATATATTCTAAGTGGATTAATTGGTTTTTTCATGCTTTTATAAGGTTTATGATTTTCTTCTTTCCTTTATCGTAGTCATCATAGCCGCATATCCTTGAGTAGGTTTAGTAAATTCTATTCTTAAAAGAATTCATCTACTAGTACTAGGGATATCATTAACATCAGGTATCCATTTTTATTGCTTTGTTTTTGGTTTTATGCTTACAAAATTACCATTCATCTTCACATCTCTTATTTGTGTTATTAGATTATCTATATTTCAATGTATTTATATTTAAAAAATATATAGTAAATATGTTTTCTATTATTACAAAATAGTTAATTTAAGAATATTTTTATATTTTAAGATAAAAATGACCATTAAAATACAAAAACAATGCAATAATGATTATATTAGTCTTTGTTTTTATGTAAAACAGAATGTCGTTTTTTAATTGAAAAATCTATATACGTCATTTATATAAGAAAATATCAATTCATAATTAAACAATTTAAAATAGGATCCTTTAAATGTTGTTTGAAAGTATATCAGAATTGTATGTTAAGAAAACCATCAAGTTTAAAGTCATTTTAGCAATTGTGTTATTATTTATAATTTTGTTATTCTATAGGGTGCATATGAAACATCTTTATAAATACAGGGGGCTAAATAAAATATTTTCTTTATATGAAACTATATAAAGGCGGGAAAGTACTTGTTCCTAAGAACAAAAGCGAACCAAAATTGGCGGGAAAACTGATCTTCAAAAAAAGATAACGAGGAGGATTAATCGGAAACGAACGGTCGACGCCGATGAACCGTTTTCTTCTCCGACCATACCTAACTGGAATCATAATCATCTCTCTGCCCGACAGCTTACCAAACTCCTAAGGCGCTTATTCATAGAATTCCAGCGGTGACGGCCAAATCCCGTTATTCCGCCACCAAAACGGAAGCTGTTCATCGGAAAATAGACGGTGGTGGCGCTGGGGAAGAAAAGGCAATGGCGGGTGGATGATGTTTCGGATAATCTTGGGATTTCAGAAGAGAGAGTCCTAGAGGCTTTTTGGAAGATAATGTCATCGAGATCCAAAATAAGAAATGGGAGCATAAGCTTCTGAATGGGGTTAACCAATTCGCCAATGGAGAATACATATAAGGTGTATGTGAAAATGTCTGAGAGAGAACAACAGGGATGGCATGAGCTCTAGATAGTTTGATCAAACTCAAAAAAGCACATGGATGATATCAGTAAGTTAAGTATGCGAGAGTGATCATATGAAACAAAAGGATCTTATCAATGTCTCAGACCAGATTTGAATATATTGATGGGGGAGTTAGAAGGTGGTGGTGGTGGTGGTGCTAAGAATGGGTGGAGATTTCAGGTTTGCTTAGTTGGTACTTGGTAGCCACCAGAAGGTTTTCAAGATTCAAGCTTGCATCTCAAGAACTGGTAAAAGGTGGTGATAGTGGTTGCCATAATGCTATCTTGTTCAAGAACTTATAACATCTTTTGGCAGGTGACATTTGGTGATATCTGTCTTTCTATCAGTTAAAATATAGATAAAAAGTTGTAATCTTTAGCATATAAATGGCACAGAGAAAGTGGGTAAAATGCCATTAGCAGATTGTGTTTACAAAAGAGCTAATCTTGGAACAACCCTTTTGCGATTCTTCTTGATCTTTGATAATGGTATGTTGGTAGTAATTACCTATTATGATGTTAGTTTCATAAGTAATCATGATGTCTGATTTATTGACCATCATGGGTTCTAGTCTTATTATGATGTTAGTGCTTCTCGATCTTTTGAATTACCGAATTTATGAATTACCGGAACTCTTTTCCATGTTCGGTCTACAGAGGCTTCGGGCCAGCCATCCATCCAAAGTGGTTGATAGTTCCTAACCACAAATTGTGACGTCCACAAACCCAAACCCATCACGTGGTCCCTTGTAATAAAAATCATAAATATATCTTTCGTGCACGATATGTAAAAAAGAGAAGAATTAAATAATATAAACCACTATGTAATGATTTGACATCACAACAATGAAAACATTATCAAAACAAGAATACCATTTGAGTTTCTTGATTAGCTTTTGCCATATATAATATATAAATATATATAGGGATATGTATAGGTCAAATATTGTTTCATATGTTGGTGTAAAAGCTATTTGTTGAGTAAAGTTGTCCATCCATTGGGTTTGGGTTTGGGTTGGGTAATAGAAAATGCACATAATGCGTGTTTTTGGTGTTGTCTTCTCTTTTATCACACATGTATGGTCGTAGGTAAAGATCTCATCACTATCAATCAACCAAGATAGCAGCACTACCATTCAAACCTAATTCACATGCTTCCCACATCCAAATATGCCTTCTTTCTTTCTGCCTTACTTATTTCTGAATTCCGATTACAATAAAGTTATTAGCTCGGACCGAATCATCTTTAAATTTTGTCTTTTAGAGTATAAGTCGAAAACCTGCAGCATCTTAATTAAAAGATATCGCAAGATTATTATCACCACTAAGATAAGATAACCAACGGTTTGGCTCATGATCAAATCATCAAGACGATTGTTCCCACCTGATGCCTTCTACTTTTATTTCACAAATTGGTTATCATCAAGATTGGCTAAGAACCAAAACAATTAAAGTAGGTGTATATGCCGAGCATTAGAAAACAACATTAGCATAACCACTCCACAATATTTAGGCATAACCTAAACATGACTAAAATACAAAAAGCAAACAACAGAAACACATTCTAACTACTAAAAATGTAACACGTCTATTAAATCCAATCCACACATTATTAATATAAAAGACAAAACCCCAGAACCCCTGACCAAACAAACCAAACTAAATCAGTATATTCGGATAGAACCAATATATCCCACTAGAAAAAGTAAGGTCTAAAGATGGAACGCAAGCGGACATGTCCTCTACCCCAAATGACCGGCTAATTTCCAAGATTGAGAATGATTGGAATTAGGAGTTGTGGTTATTCTTTAACATTTGTAACTTGAAAAGTTAGCTCCAATTTGCATTAAAAATCTCTAGGGATTGGATTACCAGCTCTTGCAATTCTGAGCTTTTTATATTACAATCTTTTGTCAGCAAATACAAAAAGAACCCAACCATGCCTATAAACAAGTCAAAAAAGCAACCATCAACCCTTAGTTTGCAGACTTAATGCTTGGGATTCAAGAACCCAAACCATAAGGTCCTTTGCAAAATGTAACACCCCAACAAAGTTTACAATGGTCTGGGATAGCTTATCATCATAGTAAAACAGTCACCTAGATAACCCCTAGAGATTCTGTCTAGTTTGTCAGCGCCCAACAAAGTTTTGATATATCGAGCTACTACAAGTGCTTGCTTGGGCTGCTGGAAAGCTCAAAGTTGGCCGGAGAAGTTCCGCCTGAGGGAATGAGTTGTTTGAAGGCACGTCTAGCAAGAGATCTTGATCACAACTTTCATCTGCATATCTCAATGAATCAAGCATCAGGGAGCTATTGTCAGGAGGCAAGGCGAATAGACTTCTCGGACTGAATCCAGGGCCATCGTTGTCTGTAACCTCCTTGTGCTCATAGTTTGTCTTCATTGATGTTCTCTTAGGGCTTTTCATTGCTGTTTTTGGTCCTGAAAGTTCCAATAGTTAAATAATTTACCCTTCTTTTCTTTAAAGATAGAATAAAACAGTCATTTTGCACCAAAGCTCCGTATTTTTGCTAACCAAAATGAATTTCAAGAATAGAAGACCAACCTGTATAGGCTTGAAATTGCGCATCACGCGATCTCTTTAACTTTACTGAATGGCCAGGTGTCATGGCATTACGTACTCCACCAACTACAGACCCTCCGCCATCATATTTACATTTTGTATCCTACAATCCGAGACAGAACATAAAAAGATCCTGAAATTAGTGTACATTCGTTCAAAAGATATAATTTTGACAATACGGGCATTTTCTTTTTGTTCAAATTCAAACCTGGAGCAGATTATATTTCTCTACCCAGTCAGATTTTGTCACATTACAAAGAGCAAGCTTCTTCAATGTTCTACATCCTTCGTTTTTCACCACCGGAAAGGAGAGATCAAACACCCCTTCAGCAAGAAGTTTCTGGAAGGAGGATAGGTTCTCCATAAACTGAGGGCTATCAAACATGCTTTTGAGGCTGTAGATTTGAGAATAAACGCTTATTACACTCATTTACATGAACTTAAGCATAAATGTATAACGATTCATTGTTATTACCAACGTGACTAGAACCCTAAGGGTCACACACTAAGGCAGAGAGGAAGATGCAGATTTATCTTTATCACGAGCAAGGTAAGAAAAGTATTACAAGAAAAGATGCAAACCTATTGTAGAGTTGAGCATTGTCGACAAGAGGTAAATACTTAAGTAGTTGTTGTTGTTCATCCTTTGTCATATGACTTGCAAACTCTTCAAAGTTGATAACATCCTGTAATTAAGAAGTTAAAGTTCCCATGAGTACAATAGCCAAGGGTAAGTACGTAAATATTACGTTATATTGGGTGAAGATTATAACTTTCACATCACCTTCATATGTGAATATTGTCACCTGCACACAATATAAATATACCTTCACTTTTTCTCACATTATTACGAAAAAGGATTGTTGTCACCGGAACCAAACCTCATTTCCCAGAAAATGTAATACCGTATACAACATTCTACGTTTCCCAATCTTTAAATCAACCTAAATAATTTAACCATAAGAGGAACTCATCTTACTTTAAGATCTATATGGCACAGTGGTGAATTATGGTTCATGAGTATCTGTAACTTCTCGTCATTATCCCTGTAATTAATAACAAAATGATGTGAATTGATTGATAGAAATTTTGAAAAATCACACTTAATCCACAAAACATGTGCTCTAATTGACTAAAAGATTGTATTAAATCTATAGATGGTCAAGTATGCATGTGATTGATGTTTATGTATATACCTGTTCATATGGTCTTGATTCATGGGCTTCTTGGATGTGTCAATCCGCCTGCTCGAAAAGTTGCCACCCTTGTTGGCATTATATACAGGAAGGGTAGTCAACCGTGAATAAGCCTCATTTTTTGTATCAACAGAAAGAGAACTTGCTTCAGATTCCTCTTCTCGAGCCATTGAGTTGGGATGGCGCATAAGTACACTCCCATGTCCTATCTCGACTGAAACCATTGGTGTGTCACTTTCAAAAATCAAATCCTCCTCTGAAGATCCCGAAAAATACGACTGTTGTTCATGTAAGATGGTATGTAAATCTTTGGTAAGCTTCTCAACAGGAGATTGCTTTAGCCGGTTAACACATGTCCTCTTCCTTGAAGGTACCAACGTATCCCACACAACAGATGATTGGGCTGGACCTGAAAAAGGTAAAGGACAACGATATCTTAGTTCTATTGTTGCTTTAAAGTCACTTGAACATAAAGCAAGTCCTCCCTCCATCCCAAAATAAATGTCACACAATGAAAAAGGCATACATTTTTAGAAATGTGTAAACATTACGCTTTTTAATTGACTAAATGACGGTTTTACCCTTAATAATAGTGGGTGTAATGAACTTCTCCATCTCATAATCAAGGGTAGAATTGGAAAATTTGGAAGTGAGACTCATTTTGGAACAAACTAAAATAGAAATATGACCACTTATTTCGGGAAGGAGGGAGTATTTGTCATTCGGAAACTCCACCTCCTCAAGGGAATTCTAATCATGATAAGGTTTAAGGTACCGTCTATGAAACCACCAAGAGTATATACACATGTATCAAGTGGTTTATGGCTACTATAGGATACAATAGAATTGTAGAATATCTAGGAGAAAACTAGAAATCCTTAGACCTCCAAAGAGTTTTCTAGAGAACGCTAGAGCCAACCTTGGTGAATGATAGTCATGCTACTTACGGCTGTTTGGTTGGTTTTACATTAAGTCCTGTATGGATTAATCTGTCTGTATAGATTGAGAATGTTTTTGTTTGGGAGGGTTTTTTTATAGATGGAATGAGCGTGTTTTTTAATTGGGAAAAACTTGGCTTTCTGCATAAAGCTCCCCCTTAGAAGCTTACTGAATAAGTCACTTTCTATATCACTAAGTCACTACCAAACGGTCATGAGTCATGTGTAACTGACCGAATAAGTTGTGAATCACATTAAGCTTATTAAGCTCTTAACAAACAAACTCTTAAGTAAGTGCATATTGAATGCCACTAAGGGACCGTTTACTTAAAGAATTGGGTGTGATTATGCTTACTAGATCTACATGGCTTGAGCTTAACTATAATCTTTAGGACCCAAAGAAATTCGTGATTCAAAGGGTGAATTCGATGGTTTTGTTTAGCAAGTCTCATCATCCAATCAGCAAAACGTTACTTATAGCAAAAATCCACTCTTATAAGAACAAAAGACCACAACCTTTTCGTATTTTATTTAGCCACAAAGGCTATGCAAGACAAAACTACAAATCTTGCAAGTGAAAACTCACAGTTTCGCTAGTAACAAACCTGTCAAATCACTAGCATCTGCGCTGCCAAGCTGCATATAGCCATCAGAGTTAGATATAGCAGAGCCAGAACTTGATCTATTGCTTGTATCTTCATCAAACCCTTTGCGAAACCCTTGGTTATGGTGGTCATGGGCAAGCCCGCCACCAAAACCACCACCACCAAGCATGATGCTACCACTGCCACCTACTACATTGTCATAATTCTGTTTTCTTTTCAGTAATTTTGCCTCTTTATTCTTAATGGATATGGTTTTCACTCTTGAAACTCGATGGTCCTCAAAATCATCAGGCTCGGATCTAGCATGAAGAGGGGTGTAGTTTACAAGTGATCCTTTAGTTCTCCATCGTGATCCACACGCATTGCACAATATAGGCTTATCTGGAGGCCCGTTTCGCCAAAGAGGGGTGCCTGTAATTTTCCGAAGGTGTCAAAAAAGAACTAAACTAGTTTCTAAAGAACAAGAAAGGTAAATTGGTCCTAATGATCAAGAACCAAAAGGTTTTAAAGGATTTTATGGATTTAATTAAAATCATATTGCATACTCATAGAGGGAATGTGCATTAGGAAACGAATACCGAATGCATTTAACAAATATAAAACTTCACTATGAATGTTTCTTAAGTAGTTCGAATGTTGGAGAACAAATTCCATTTGTATAGCAACTTCAGAAGAGATTGGTGAATGACATGTTTGATCATTCATTAAACTTTAAAAGAATTCAAGAACAACATGAATGTGAAAGAGCTAGCAACAGGAATACAGAAGGAAGAGTTGTTTGATGTCAACTATGAAGCAAATTCACAGGCAAAATATCGAAAAGGTTGAGTGCACCCAATTCAATTGCTATTGACTTAGAATTTGAAGCTAAACCAAGCAACAAAAGCATTGATTAAACCAGAAGGCATTAAGAGAGAGGCTACTCTGTATTTGATAAAGTTTAATCATCAAATTCTGAAGAAAAAAATCAAACTCAAATTCCTAACATTCCTTGTGTTCTACATGAAGAAGGCAATCCAAAGCTACCAGATACTTCAATAATTAATCTTATGTCAAGATATTATATTAAAAATCTCAGAAACAGACAATAATCAACACAAGAATCATATATTTGTCAATAATTGTTTCAAAAAATTTCCAGGTAATTTCCTACAATTATAGACCAAACCAGCATATGGGTATTGTCAAGCATGATCTCCAAAACTAATCTGGACACAGTAAAGAAAATAGCAACAAAAAGAACCCCATTTTATTTAGTAAATCAAAAATCCCAACATGAAAATAACCAATTCCCCCAAATAAAATAAAAACTCACTTGTAACACCACAGTGATAGCAAGGTCCTTGCTTTCCCATCTCTGAACAATTTGTTTTTTCTCTTAAATTTTTCTAAATTAAAAAAGTTCCCAAATATATTTTAGAGAAAATGAACTATTCCCTGCACAGAAAAGTCATGTTTTCCAGACACAAAAAAAAAAAATTAAAACCCAGAAATATTATTACAAAATCCAACTGGGTATGGAAGAGTTGTTTAAAAAGAAAGATTTCAAGAGATCCCCAGAAATAAAAATAAAAAACCCTGAAGAAAAATGGCTTAATTTCTTCAAAAACCCACACAAAGTTGAGCAAATTATTGGGAAAAAAGAGGAATTTAAAGAGAAATTAGAGGAGTTTTAGATGGGTTGTTGTTGTTTCATAAGAACATGAGCATCTGCCCAAAATAATCCAATGGAAGAAGAAAAAGAAAAGACTTGTGGGAAGGAATCTAATAAATGGTTGGGAAAGGAAGATGAAAATGGCGAGAGAGAGAGAGAGAGAAGGAAAGAAAGAGAAGTTGTGTTTTGTGCGTATGACCCTCACTTCTTCTTCTTCTTGTATTGTATACGAAGTAAATGTTTCAGCTTTCTTTTTCTTTTGGTTTAATTCAATTTTTATTTTTATTTTAATTTTTTTAATCTTTATAAATTTTTAATTAATTTATGTTAACACCCATAATTGAGATTAGATGAAAATAATGTTGACTTTTCTATGTTTTGTTTAACATTCCCAAATCATAAAACAAATGGATTCTCAATATTTTTAAATTATCTTCAAGAATTATAAATACCCATTAAATAATTGATCTTATTATATATTATTATTATTATTATTATTATTATTATTATTATTATTATTATTATTATTTTGTTTATGACCAAGAGATGTATCACAATTCACACCTTTTATTCATAAAATATCCCACATTAATACCCAAGATTTAAGTTAATATGTTTCAAATTAGAAATTTTAATAATAATATTTTTATGTATAAATAAAGTTACGTATGGCCATTGTCTATATGTGAACTAATTAATGACCTATACTTATTAAATTAACTCATTCAATCAAAACGTATACATAAAAAAATGACACACTTCATACATTATATACATATCGTAATCAAAAACGTCGTCTTTGTTTAAAAAATTAACATATGATTTAACACATAGTTTATAAAAGTATTTATAGTTGATCCAAAATCTATAATACCTCTCCGATCATGTTCGTTGACCATGAACTAACTTATTTTTTGAGGTTATTGGAAAAAAAAAATTGTTTGATTAACCTTAGTTTATAAAACTATTTCATGTAAATTTTCAAAAAAAATTCAGTGTTTTTTTAAACTTTTTTCAATTATGTGTAATGTAATTTTCTAATTATTTTTCAGTATTTCACTTGAGTTGTAAAAAAAACGTGATATTTTACTTTTTGGTAAATTTTAAAAAGTTATATTTTCCAAGTGATATAAACTAAAGGATACCCAAAAATAAAATATCACATTCTTAACAACTCCGAATGAAATAAAAATTTACATTTTTCCATACCAATAAGTTGTTTATTTGTCTCATAAAAGTCATGAATGGTTCTTAATTTACGACATAACATACTAATGAAAGGGTAGTTTAGACAATTCATCACAAATGAAAACAGCTTATATTAACCAAATGCTTAATTTAATATTGTGTGTTTTAAAATTTCAGATGATATTTAATCGAGCTTCAAAAGTCAAAAAAAATAAAATAAAGAAGATAGTAATATTTACAAAAAACCTAACTTTTCTAGGTGCCATGCTTCAATAATTAACTCCAACTTAAATGCTTTGTCGTGTAATTTTTTATTTTAAAATACATATAAACGTTTTTTTTCAAAATACATCGTATGATTTAATATCTATATATTTATAAAACACATAAAATATCTCATAAATTGCTCAAGTAAAATGGTAAAAAAAAAATATATTCCCTATCTTATTTATAATAAAAAAATACATCAATAGAAATATTATTACAAAAAGTTATATAAAAATTATTTTTTTTAACTTTTTATTACTTTTAAATAACAAATAAATAAATAAATAAAATTATTTTGAGGCATGGGTCATGAGCCTTGTCTTCCCAAACTTAATCTCTAAATTCTATTTTCATTTATATTTTCCAACAAATTTCTGAATTTCTTGAATAAATTCTTTTTAATTTTTTGACTTTTTATAGAAATAAATTTCTTGACTTTAATGTAGATAAATGTACATTACTAACTGAAACGATCGCAGCCGTTGATATTATGAAAAGCAACTAGATCGGGGTCCACCTGGCTACGTGGCATGCACTGACCATTTTGTCAAATTTTTAGATTCAACCAATATGGTGAAACCATGAGGCCTAGGTGCATCTATGCAACCACAACAAAGATAGCTTTTTTTTTTTTCAAAAATGGTCCTTCATGTAATGGTTAAATGTTCAATTTACCCCCTTAAGCTTTCAAACTACACATTAAGCAACATGGTTTTGAACATATTTGTCAAAAAGTGCAATAAAGTCGTCGAAAAAATGTATCGTGCTTGGTTCAAAAGGTCCTACGGCATAAAATGGTCCATCTGCTAAAGGGGTACACAAGATGCATCAGATAATCAGTATAAGAATAATGCATTATAAATCCAACTCGTTTTTACCAGATATAGCCCTTTGTCAAACTGGTATACAATCAAGTTTTCAAAAGTATGGTGGCATTGGTTTAAGACTTGATACTAACACAACATCCATGTAGCTTCTTTGTTTAACATTGTATTTTTCATAAATTAAAAAAAATTATTTGTTTCAAAACTGATATACAACCTTGTATCGAAGGACACTAAGTTCTATTTTCATTCATCACTATGCATTTGGTCACCAGGAATTCTTCGTTCTTCTAGACTTACGTCGTTATCTAGGCATTTGCACTTATTAGATAGAAGAAAAATAGAAAGCATGGAACCAATTAAGCGTTAGCAAGTGATCTGGTTTTCCAAGATAGCAACCATTATGCAATTTCATATTTGTTTGTGATTGTATTTTCTAGGTTTAAGCTTAAGTTGGTATGTTTTGAATGAAAGTTTAATCTAAATGTCGAGCTTACTGATTCATGTCTCATCACATTTGTTAGTGGCCTAACATAGTTTTCTTTGACGGTTTTATTTTACCTATATATTTGCTAAACACGATAAACATCACACCATGTTGGTTCGTAAAGCTTGTTAGTTGTCAAACGTCTTATCACCTAATTAAAATGTTTATATCCTCCGAAATGTCCTTCATCTTTCCACTTTTACTCTTTCTGGCATATCATTTGGTATAATGATAATTTGATAAATTATGTGTCACACATGTTCTATTTTGCTATTACTATATATAGCGTAAATGGTTATGATAGAATGACATAGAAAAGAACAAGTTTTTTTTTTATAATCAAATAATCATGAGCCAACTTGTGCACATCTTGACTTATCCAATGGAACCCTGACCATTAGCTTTGAATAGGCTATAATCGGTGACCAATACAGAGGAAACACATGGTAAGAACAATTGAGTTACCACCAAGAATTAGGTTTTCCATTCTTTTATTTAAGCCATGCTTGCTTTAAGGGAGAAAAAAATGATATAAAATCCACAAAACCATGGACAAACCTACTTTGAACAGAATTAAACCAGTTTCTCTACGATAACACAGTCTAATACAATCCAAAAATGGGTGGTTTCAATTATATATAGACTCGATTTACAATCACATGAAATTGCATATAATCTTCCCCTACATGTAACAATTTAGAAAATCGAAAAACATAAAGACACAGTCTTTTGTAATTCCAAGATAAAAACAAACATTTTAAAAATAGAAAAACCAAATACCCTTAGTTATATGTATAAAGTTATTAATTAAAATACTATTTTGGAATTTAAATTATAAAAAAAACCACAATTGATGAGTTCCATCCATTTGTTTGTGAAAACCACAAGGGACAATCCTTGGCATTGGATGTAGAAGAAAAGACGAAATTACCCTGGGGTTGAAAAAGAAAGTCCTTGGGCGGCTAAGTGGCATCATCATATTTTGTTGGGGTTCACGTATTTCATATAGGCTATGAGGCACCCTATTTTTCATTATTCATTCTTTCTTCTTATACTTATACTTAAATATTATTATTATTATTATTATTTAATTAATTTTAATGAAAACATTTAGCAAATACCATAATTCACATATGAATTTTATATTTAAGGATAATCTAAAAATTAAAAAATTTACATTTATTTTAAGTAAAAAAAAAAAAGAATAAAAAAAGAATAACCTTATCTTCTTAGGAACATTGTTGGGTCAATAACCTAAAAAGTCTCTGCTATTGTTATTGTACATCACAAAGTTTTTTACCATATTTAATTCAAGATTACATCTTGACCGTCCATTAATCTAGGTCATTGGTGGGTCCTTAATCAACTCATTTATCACATAAATGCATTATATTATTATTATTATTATTATTTAGAGTAAACTACAAATCTCGTTTTCATTTTTCATTTTTGTAGTTTTGAAATTATAAGATGGTTGTCATGATTTGCACAAACATCTAGATCTGATTACTCCCTCTAACAAATTCTGTATTTTCATCTTTTTATTGATTTTTGTCATTTAAGAAATCAAAAATCACAGGAATCAAATTGATTTTAATTAGTTAAAAAACAAAGACAAAAATAGTTAAAATAATGAAAATGTCTCTCATTTAACTAAATTTTTCAATATCCGTTAGAGGGATGGATTAAATCCGAACGTTTTTACAAACCACAATGGTCATCTTGTAAGTATTATTTTCGACAAACCAAATTTATAGTTTCTCTTATTATTACTTAATTCAATTCTTGGTTTGCGCATACTTATTATTAGAAAAAATACAAAAGAAGAAATGACATAAAATATTAAATTATGTTGAAACTTCAAAATAATTTTGAAAGTGAAAATATTTAGACTGAAATGGTCTTAGACGTGTTATTTCATTCGGATAATGAGTATTTTTATATAAAAAAAAGTCTATATTCTATATATTTAAATAAAAAGTATTATAATAATTTTCTTTGTCTTCATCAAATAAGGTAACTATACGACACATATAAATGATATCAATTTCGTTCGGTTTCCTCTCGTGTAATTATTTCCTCGTTGTAAATTGTTTCCGATGAACAAAAATCGTTTGATCTAACTCACCATCATTGACTATCTATAAAGTCATTACCGTTTGAGTTTAAATTCATCAATACATGGTTCAATTTATGATTTATGAAATAAAACAACATTATAACCCTTAAAAATTATCGAGCCCCTCTTTATTTGCACTTCTGATTTTATTAAAAATAAAGACATAAGAAATTTAAAGGGAAGAGTATACAAGACTTGTATATCGAGAATAGTTAAAATATGGAATCGAACATAAAAAAAGTATCGATCATATCTTGATTAAAATGGTAGAAAATAACTTTGACCATAGACTTGTTAGTGGGTGATGTGTCATTTT